TATGCACCAAAATCTAATTAATTCTCCCCTTCTATTGGGCATTTCAATTGTTTGCAATGTTTTGCCATGTAAATGTACAATGCATATGCTACTTTATCAACATCATTGACTAATTTTTTAGGAATAATTCCTCAAAGGGGAATTATTATCAATGATTATCAAGGATAAAAACTGTTTTAAATCTTCTATTGTGTAAAGTCATGTTATGTCTTTCCAACTTTAATTGAAAGACACCCATCTTATTAAATTATTGATTATATTGAACATTATCTTTACTTTTATCTTTTCCAACTTGAATGGCAAAAAAGAAAATGAGTTTTCATTGTTTTAATTTACATTAATTTAATTCCAAGTAAGGTTGGATTATTTTTATGTGATTTGTATTTCTTCTTGTGTGAATTATCTACCAATGTTCTTTGCTTATTTTAAAGGATCTTTTTTTTTTTACACAATTTTTTGTTATTCACACAATTTTTAAGTATTTAAAAATATATTAAGATTCATGGGGGTCTATGAAAGAAAATTTAGCATCATTCAGGGAAATATTCTGGATATTTTAATACCTGATATTTAAATGTTATAGAGAGTTTAGTGAAAAGAACACTCCAATTAGGACAGCACTAGCAAAATTATACAGTAGATTAAACAGCTAAACTGGATTAGGTCCATACATTATTGACATCCTTACCAGCAATAAAATATTAATATTGTTAAGTAAAATATAACTTAATTTGTTTTAACCAGACTCAATATAACATTGTGCAAATTATTTATTCTACAAACTATATATGCCCTACATATTCTATGTGCAGACATTGACTAGACCTAGGGCTTTTATATGAGTCCTTTACAAAACTTTCATTATACTAGTATGTGATATTTCAATAAGATTCTTGGTAACAAAAATGGGTTCCAATGAGGTATGGATTTTAACAATCTCAAATTCAGTTAAAGGAAATTTTAGGAATAAAAAGCCTTCAAAGTTTTTCACAGCCCTAGAATTTGCCCAGGTGAGCATTTTCTTTCCACCCCTGAGTCAAGTTCTCCATCACCTCAGAACTATGGGAAAAGTTAAATAAGGTTGTTGATTTTTAATGTAGAATTCTCCTAAGGCATAAAAGACAAAGGCAAATAAGTGACCTGAGTCTATACTAGAGGCCTGGAGCACGAAATTAGGGTGGTAGGGGTTGTGGTGTCCCTCAGCCCAGCCTGCACCCTCTCCAGTCTGGGACCCCTTGGGGGATGCCAACTGCTGGTTTGGGCCCATAGGAATTGGGCCTAAACCAGCAGTCAGACATCACTCTTACAATTCAGGACTGCTGGCTCCTAACCGCTCACCTGCCTGCCTGCCTAATTGTCCCTTACTGCTTCTGCATGCCAGCCTGATCGCCCCCTAACTGCTCCCCTGCCAGCCTAATTGACACCTAACTGCTTCCCTGCCAGCCCAATAGCCCCCAACTGCCCTCTCCTGTAGGCCCAGTCACCCCCAACTGCCCTCCCCTGCTGGCCTGGTTACCCCCAACTGCTCTCCCCTGCTGGCCGGGTCACCCCCAACTGCCCTCCCCTGCTGGCCTACTCACCCCAACTGCTCTCCCCTGTTGGCCTGTTCTCACCCCCAACTGCCCTACCCTGCTAGCCTGATCTCGCCCCTAACTGCCTTTCCTTACCAGCCTGGTCACCCACAACTGCCCTCTCCTGTAGGCCCAGTCGCCCCCAACTGTCCTCCCCTGCTGACTTGATTGCCCACAATTGTCCTTCCATTCAGGACTTCCCACCCCCAACTGCCCTCCCCTGCTGGCCTAGTCACCCCATCTGCTCTCCCCTGTTGGCCTGTTCTCACCCCCAACTGCCCTACCCTGCTAGCCTGATCTCGCCCCTAACTGCCTTTCCTTACCAACCTGGTCACCCACAACTGCCCTCTCCTGCCAGGCTGATCACCCACAACTGCCTTCCCTTGCCGGCCATCTTGTGACAACCATCTTCTGGTGGCCATCTTGTGATGATGTAAGGATTCCCATCTTGTGGTGGCCATCTTGTGTCAGCCATCTTGTGATGATGTCGCACATGACACCACCTAGACTTTTATTATATAGAAAGTCATTGTCAATACACCTGGCCTCTTAAATGTAGTCTAAACATCCAGCAATAATGTAGTCACTTGTTTCTTCCTCTCTTTAATATTAATTGGAAACAATATGTTTCAATTGATTTTACTCTGGAACTGCTGGATTTAATAGAAAGAAAAGGAATAATTAATGTAAGAAAGAACCCATAATATTTTTCTTTTACCTCTTATCAGCTTAGCAGATCACTATTACAGCTCCTCTGATGCTTAATGAGGAGAACTTCTTCCTTTCTTAGCAATATGTTTCTGAAAACTATGTCTGAAATGCATGAAAGGGATTCAACCGAATGAGAAAATGCACTGCAAGGATCTCCTTTGTATGTCCCTCATTTACCTGACCCCTTGTAGCTGCCTTAATCTTGCTTATAATCACTCCTTCAGAGTTCCTGTTCCTTTTTGCTTAGGTAAAGAATACTTTTTAAAATTTATTCTAGCAAACTGAATGAAATAACTTCATATATATTTTAAAATCACTTGCTGATTCTTATCATTAATAACATGTCAAAGCAATACATTCCATAAAATAGAACACATGTTCAAATGATGCTTACATATATGGTTTATGCTGAAGTTTAATAGAAACTTCAATTGGCTGTTAGACCTAAAATGTATAAAGAAAAATTGTAGAAAACAGGCAGTTTTAACAAGCAAAGAAATCTTGAAACTCTGAAGACTATCTCTAAATATTATTTACCAAATGCCTTCTATTCACCACTAAAGAAAAATTAATTTTACATATGGTAGGATAAAGTGGACTTTATTGAGGGACCACATGTTTCTGCAAGGAAAGCATATGAAGGAATTGTGAACTGGGCAGTGGGTTATTTATTGTTCAAGTATATTATATTAAACAACTATAGATACATATACACACATAATGTGGATAGCAGTGTGAAACTAAACTGTTTTTACATGGCCTATTAGATGACATAAGAAATACAATTCTTAGAATAATTTTGTAGGAAGATTATTCCAAATAATTTTCTCAGTGTAAAGCTTTTTTTCCTTATCCATTCCTTTATTTTGTTCTTTTTTGTTTGTTTTTTTGTTTGTTTGTTTTCTATTGTGCTGTGAAACTGTCTTTGGATATGGTTAATAACCCTGTTAAATAACCCTCTCATGAAATGATTTTAGTTTATCAAAGAAATCGTCTAAAACAACACATAAGATAATTGGGATGTCATTTTATTTTTTTAAATCTAATATGAATATTTAAGGCTAAAAAAAAGGTGAATCATAAAAACAATTTTCTCAAAAAAAAAAAGCAGTTAGGTTTAAATCATTGAAAGGCAAATTTAGTTTCTGTGGACACAAAATAAAAAAACTTATTTGCAGCATTTTCAAAACAAAACAGGTGTTTCTATCATAATTGAATATTCAGCCTACATTTTAGTCTGGTCCTTTTAGTGATTAAACTAAAAAGCTGATCTTGTTCACTTTCAGAAGATATTATTTCACACCACTAATGTGGCACTTACTTAGGAATGTGAGAAAGCTAATTATTTAATTCACATTAGTAAATGGCCATCTCACCCTTAAAAACAGTTAACACTCTCAAGGCGTAGTTTGCTCAGGGAACTGTTTGCTGTCCAGATGGATCAGACCATCATAACATGAACATCGTGGAGAGTGAGCATCCATTACCTGAAACATTGCAAATACATTTGAAGAGAACACTTTCATAGGCCAATTAGTAGTGAAATAAGCAAGACTTTTTATTTGTCAACTGAATGATCACTGTCAAGTGCTACTCGCTAATATGGGGTTGTTTGGTTTTATTTTATTCATTCATTTGGCGTTAAACTGACCACCAAACTCAGTATTTATCAAATAGCATAGCACAAACCAAACCCAGATTCTCTCAGTACTGTATCTAAGCCATTCTCCAGATTTAACAGAAATTTCATTAAAGGCTGAGAAAACCTCGTGAAAGAGAGAGCTTATTTAGAAACTGTAACTTGAAAGCAAAAACGGAACCAAATGCATGGGAAGCAAGAGCCTCTGAAACTTTTTCAGAAATCCTCTTAGAGAGTGATTGTGGTATGCTATCTCTGTGCCACTGCAGAGCTGAACATGGAGAAAATCTAACGTAGAGTGTTGTGTTTTGTCCAAGTCCATATCTTATGCAGTATGACCGTTAGAGTTTAATAACTTAAACAGTCAAATTGGCTTTGTGATTTGAATTTCTAAATAGCATCCAATGCCTTTAAGAATCAATACAAGATTAAAAAAAAAAAAAAAGAATCAATACAAGATTCAAATATAACAGCTTTTTCACTAAAAGCTGCTATTACTTTTCTCTTGATTTCCAGCCCTAAAACTGAACCAAAAACATGGAAATCCTAGATCCTGAGACCAGCTAAATCAAGCAAACAAACCAAACTCCCACAGATAAAGAGGAATAACAAGTCATACTCTGTCGTCAGGAAATCAGTACACAAAAATTAGTGGCTATTTGTTGGTTTGTTTATTCCATTATGCTTTTCCTTCTGGGAATGAATTTTCATTTCGGTCTCTTTTAGAACATTGACATTCTCTGCGAAGGAATTCAAGACACAATTCTTTCTCAATTATTAGCAAATTCGAGTTACTACTGTTTTGAAAAACAATCCATGTAACCAGTTGATGATGATGTCGGTTATTTGACAATAAATGAACTGTGCAAGTGAACAGCGATAAATACCACATGTTTCATGCAGTTTGCACGTAGTTACAATTGCCTTTGGTTTGAACTGGTGAAAGGGGCTACAGGATGGCAAAATGAGAGGTTTATTTAGCGTCTGGGAGAAGCTTATGAAAGAGCTTAAGTCCTCATTCCTTCTAACATCTTTAACAGCTGTGCAGTTTCTTACAAAATATGTTTTATCGTTTCAAGAAATGCTGTTAACCTCGCAGTTTTAAAACTGAATGAACAAGGCCTCTTGGACAAATTGAAAAACAAATGGTGGTACGACAAAGGAGAATGTGGCAGCGGGGGAGGTGACTCCAAGGTTAGCCTCAATGTCACCAAAAGCGGGTAAACAGTATGTGAAGTAATAGGTGCATCTGCTGGGAGACTCACAGTATGGGTCTTCCAATGCCACCAGCATTGCTAGTCAAGACCCTCCTCAACTTAAGTATGCAATTACTGTCAAAGCAAAAATATTTGCAAATGTTATCCATGTGGGAACACATTAACAAACCTAATTAAAATAGTCCCTGAAAATCTCTGGCTCTGAAGCAGTTGGGATCAAATATTAAAGTTCTATACACCATGGTTTTGGAAGGCAGGAGGGGATGCTGGTTTTTGAAAGAAGGAGTTGGCAAAGAGAAGAGAGGGTATGTCTTTCTTGTTCACCAGAAGTTCTACGCCATGTTTTTAAGGAACAGCAGTAACTCCGCTTAGATCTATGTACTTACCAGAAAAGCATTTCTCTGTCTAAATCCCACAGGCTTCCAATAAGTAATAAATAAATCAAAGATAGTCATGTGGAACCAGAAATTTTTGACTCCCCATAAATGGATCAAACTACAAAATGAGCAGACTCTACACACACAAGACCAGTTCAGCTTATTTTCCCTGACTCCATGGCATATGTCTAGTTTCATAAAGTAATGTATGAAATTTCTGAACAGTGTCCAAAGAAAAAAATAGGCATGCAATGAACAGGATATACTACTTAGTGTCCCTGAACCCTTCTTCACTGTGTATAGACTTAGAGAAAACAGTCCAGAGATGGGACACTTCTGACTGAATTTTCTTTTCTTACACACCTAGACTTCGTATATAAGAATATTGAAATTTTAGAAGTATACAGTCTTGCCTGCCTTTTAAAATCTAGAGAATTGCCCCAAATAAGAAGTCCTGCTTCTCTTCAGGTTCCAGATTGGACTCTGAATTCTCTCACTCAGCCACTCAACCCACAAAAAGATGCCGTTTTTAGTGAGTATCTGTCAGCTGGCTGATAACTTCACCCTTTCTCAGTGCCGCAAGCTTGCCCCTCACTCCCAATCTGAAGAGCCTCTCAAACCCAGCTCACTTGTTTACCCCACCTCATAACCAGTCCTTCTGCAGGTTACCATATGATTATTCTGGCCACAGAGGGAGGCGTGAGAGAAACATCAGAATTGTGTGGACCCAAGGTCTTCCATCTCCTTATCCTGAGAGAGAATCTGAGTTTCTGGAGAACAGAGCAGAGAAATCCAGAGCGAGTGCTTAAGGCACCTCCATCTGCGGCGCCAACCATGTTTTCTTAAGGAGTATTAATTCTTTTTACTTTTTGGAGTCCTAACTTGCCTAGAATGTTCTGAAAGTGTCCATACAATATATACGTACATTTAGATGTATGGTGTCCCCCCAAAAAATGTATACATACTTTCTAGATTCTATTACATTTTGAAAATGAAATGTTATTTTAATAAAGACTGCCTTTATAATTAATCAAAGTATGTATACATTTTTGGGGACACACAGAGAGAGAAGAGAGAGAGAATTATTCCAGTTTACACTAATAATCTACTATTCCTTCTTGCAAATTAGAAATGTATGAAAGTGTGCTCTCATAGCTCCAAAGAAAATAAAAACAATCATATTCTATTCCATTAGAGAAATTTTATCTGCAAAATTTATTTTCTTTTACAAATAAAAAAGAAATGTAACATTGCTCACCAAATAATATTTTCCAAAAAGAAAAAGAAAAAAAAAAAGAATGAAGTCCTATTTTGGTGTACATTAAACTCTTTCCAGAAGAAAATTAAATAAGCAAGCAGAAGCAGGAATTTACACATAATAAAAAAAATCTATTTAACAAAGCCAATTTTAATTTATTTAAACAAGGTTGGACAGCTCAGTTGGATTTTAATCTGTTTGCATCCAACACATTGTTTGGTGCATAATGAACACAAAGTAAATATTTGTTGTACAAATAAATAAATATAAATCATAGGTATTCAATACATTATTTTCAATAAACATGAACTACAAAATGATATTCTAAAACATTATTTCAAATCTTAAGAAGTAACTTTCTAAATTGTTATGAAAAATTAAACTAATATGTTCCCCCCAAAGTAAATTGCATTATGTTCTATTTTCCCTCAGGAATTTTGTTTTCATACTAAAAAGCATCCCTAGTAGGTTGTATATTGACATATTTATCAACAAGGGAATAGGTGATTGCAATCTAAATGCTAATAGTGCCCAACTCTGAATTTGTAACAAAAGGTGATATTTATATGTCTGCTTGACCTCACTTAGTTCAAAGTAAATTACCAAGACAGTTGTTCCTTTTTCATTTTGGTTTTGTACCTTCTTCAAGTGACTGATTTTCTTTTTAGACTTACCATGCATCTCCCATTTAGGCTGGTCTTCCTCAAAAGTGGTAAAATAAGGAGCAAAAGTGCTGACTTGGAGGCTGAAGTTAGATCCAGAGCCTTTGCTGAGTGTAAATCCAAGCAGAGGAGCCAGAGGAATACTGTAGGGAAAACTCACGCTCAGCGACTCAGCCCAAGCACTCGGAAATCGGTGTTATCTTCCCAATACAGAATCTTGGTGGGAGAAAACTCAAGGGGAACCATGGGAAGCTGTCCCACACGTCAATAGGTTCCCAGGAAGAGACAATTGAGGGATGCAAACAGGGAGGATATGTCTAGACTTCTATTCAGCAGAAAATTATGAAACCTCTCATTTAACTGGGTCATGGAACCAGTACCCGTAGGGGGAAAGAGAATTACCCACTGTTTTGTTTTGTTTTTTTCTTTAAAACTTATGATTTAATATAACCAACAACTGAACTATTAGTCACTGTGGCCACTTCTAGTCACACCCCATGGCTGCAAAATAATTAGCATCACCATTTAGCTGAGAGACATTCCCAGAGCATGAAGTTCTGAGCAGGCATTTTATTCACCTTGTGAATAAAATAACAGGGGACCAATTGAAGAATATCACTGCAATGTCTAAAACTCATTTCCCCCTTTGATTAATCTGGTGTGGTTTAGCTGAGCACAAACCATACGCAGAGGTTTATGCCAATTCTTAGTGGTTATTTAATCCTGACTCTAGTTGGAAAATTTGGGAAATGCCTGTAATCAGTCACTAAAACTATTGATTTTTTTCTGTTTTATACTTTCCTTTTCTTCTATGTATATCAAAATAGGCACACTCATGGATGAGGATGTTCATTTAAAAATCATTTTGTAAACATAACAAATATTGTGTCCTTCAGGAACTGTATTAGATCACAAAATACCCAGTTTTTTATTTAGCCCTTTGAAAAATACAGCCCACTTCTGACTTTAACACATTTTATACTTATAATGGCCTACTTCCCTTCACCATAGACACAGAAACCAATGAAAGAATAAGGGGATTATTATAGAAATAATAAATAAGCAGGGAAGGTTGTGGTAAACAAAAACCATGAAGGGAAGCTAAGCATTGGAGAAGGGATATTCCTGTTATGAATTACTTGCATTCCACCAGTTGACTGTAATAGTAGGTATCTTATATGCAAAATCCCAATCTTACCTCTCAAACAAGACTGCTCAAGTGAGTAGCATAAGGGGAAAATGAAGAAGATAGGAAGAATTAGGACTTTTAAGAAGGAGACAGATGGCCAAAGGCAGTCTTTCCCTAACCTCAATTGTGCCTTCAACCTTCCCTTCTAGAAGAAATTTGGAAACTGTTCATTTTCTTTCTCTTTTCAGCATTGTCCTCCTCCTCCATTGTACCCTGTTTAAGAAGAGTGATGTAGGGTAATACTACAATGTCCCTACACAGGTTTCGAAAGGTTTTGGCAAGCTGGACTGGGAATCTCAAACCTCTTATAGTATCAATTAAAGGAAAAAGCTTGTTTTTGAATCAAAATAATTTGAACGTTGCCACTTTATAGAGCATTTACTCTCAGTGGATATCCTGGAAAATACTGTTTTACACAGATGAGTGAAATGTGGCTTTTGTTTTCAAGAAGTTCACAATTCACCAACCAACCTGACATGTGGTTTTGTTAATAGTTGCTTCTTCAAGAGAAGTGAGGGAAAAGTGTGGAGGGGGAGGAGGAGGTTGGATAGATAGCCCCTAGGTTGTGGCTAAATTAACCAAGCAACCCAGGTAACCATAACCCTCACCCCACCTCATCCCACCTCACCTCAAATTCAGCTTTTAGTAGGAAGTGTTAAATCATGCTTATGTTAGATTTTAGTCCAAAAGACAATATTCTAGGAAGGTGGCAAATGCATATCACTTCTTAAATGGAACAATGAACCTTGTAAGATCTTATAACATTCATACAAAAATTAAATTGTATTCAGAAATCAGATTAAAAAAAGAAAAACATATTTTAGAAACATTTTTGAGAACCAACAATACAAAATAAATGGGTTTTCGTTTAACTGTGAACCAGGACACTCGATTAACCAGAAACCCCATTTCCTGAGTCTTCCATTGTGAATGCTTTTAATTGCACAGCTATGAAGGCAGACTATTACAAATCCTGATTCCTCTGCTTCCTAGTTGTGTGACTAGAGGGGTACACCTCCCTGTGCCTTAGTTCTAATTAAGTATGTAAAAGACTTTTAACCATGCCTGGTACCTAGCAAGTACTCCAGTACTCCGCAAATGCTTAGCTATCATTATCATTATAAATTGCCTCGTTTTGTAGATAGGTTTATGGGATTCACCTACTGATAACAAGAGAAATGCAGGTTGTGTGTCTCTACGCACTCAACATTTCCCCGGAAAGAGGCACTAGAAGATACGGCCAGGCAAAATGGTTGTGGCAGCCTTAGAAATGTCAAGAAATACAACTCTCTCCTCTCTCTGAATGTTTATAAAAGTGAAAACACACACACACACACACACACACACACACACAATAACAACAAAAGATGCTAGGAATTACTGCTTCTCCTCTATCTTCTTGACCTTTACTTTGTATCCATAGAGGTTAACAGGGGGATGAAAACAGAAAGAATTCTTAGCTTCCTTGCAACTTTAAAATTGAAGGACTCTGCGATAGTAGAAAAGAAAAAAGGGCTTTTATAGTCCAGGGAGTTAATTTATTGATCAAAATCTTTTTTTACCCCTAACCTATCAGGGGTTTGTTGATAAGAATTAATAAAGTATGCTATAGTCACTTCCCTTTTTTACTTAAACTAAATTAATGTGGTAGACACAACATGGATGAAAATTGCTTCTGGTGATACTACGAAAGTTCAGAAGGAAAACATCAGCCTAGGCTTACACTTTACAGCAATGATCCACATATTTGTGTTTTTAAGTAACATTTTAATGACCCACCTCTTTCAGTTCAGTCCTGGGTGACAGAGATGGAGGACTCCGTTTAGTAATGGACACTGTAGACATCCTTCCATAGCATAAACTAAAATCCCTCCAGCTGATCATGTGCAAGTGAGAGATGAAACCAGTCCTAGCTAGCTTTAGGTGAGTCTGCCCGTCACCTGCAGCCACTCCCATTCATTTTGGAAAGAGACGAAAAGGAGCTCTGAATTTCTAATGACTCCCATATCCATGCAGGGAAATTAAAAAAAAAAAAAAATGCTTCAGAAACCCACCCCGGGCCAATAGTTTTGGATTCACAGTAATTGCATACATTTTATTTAAAAATCCTCCCTAGCAGTATGTGCCTGTTACCTAAAGCGATGGAGCAGGCCCCAGTTTTATGTCTGATTCTAAACCTGGGCCTACGGTACAAGACATAGCGCCTGCTGTGGCCTCTGCTCTGTCACTTTGCCATGCGATTCTAATGTAGTTTGACTTGAATAACATAAAATAACATATATAATGTTATTTATGTTATTTTCCACGTGAAGAACTCCTGTAAACCTTGCCGTTTTGAAACTCAGTGAGGCAGGCGTCTTAGACAAGCTGAAAAACAAATGGTGGTACGATAAAGGTGAATGTGGACCCAAGGACTCTGGAAGCAAGGTCAGTCGCTGCAGTTCGGGGCCTCCTCTTGTGTTCACAAAGCAGTAAACGGGAGCAATTGTCAAAAAAATTAAAAAGCATATGGACACAGTAACAACTAAACCTATCTCTCTACACTGCCTAAATTCGAAGTTAATGTCACCAATTTCATCCACAGTCTTTATAGCAACTTGCAACCTGCTCCCCAATACTAAGCTTTTAACTAAATTTAAATTACCTACAAAAATACATAAAATATTAAACATTCCTTCTATTATTCTCAGACTTACGTACCACTAATAAAAGTAGTGCCTTTGAGGTTTAAGATTTTCTATTGTTTTGGAGGCAAAGACCATGGAATGTCTTCTTTCAAGAAGAGATGTATTTCCAAAACAAAAAACAAAAAAAATGGGAGGTTGATCAGTAGTCATTCAGAAAAGGATTTTAAATATTAACTATATCTTATTCAGAAGTTCAGTCTTTTGTGACTATATTGTCAACCATTCCACTTTAGTTTGAAGAGGCCCTTCTATATTTTTGTGCTGGCAGATCAATAGAGTGAACCTTTCAATTCTATTCTATCAAAATGGTTTAAGTAAATCAATGTTTATGGATGATAGTCTCAAGTTCTAAGATCTGTTGTTCATGAATTCCTTCTAAAATATTGCAGAAACATATAATCCTGATTCTTTGAAAATAGTGTTAGAAACAATTGTATTTTAATTCCAAAAGGGAAAAAATGTAACAACCTATCAGTGAATCTAAATACTGCACAAATCAATAGAATGTAGTAACAGTGCCTGAAAGCCATAGTTGATGATTCTTAGAATCTTTTTATTACTTTTCTATATCTCATTTTAAAAAGAAAAAAAATGGATGACAAATAGAGAGATGATAGATAAATGATAGAGAATTCTAAGTCTAAACAAGTGACCAGCTCAGAAAGGAGAGCCTCAATTAATTTAACAGAGACAAAGTAATGTTAATTGATCCCTTTCTATGACTTATCCCTGTATTTTAATCACTTTTATCTGTCTTTAAACCAGAGTGGAATGAGATAAACTTGGCTAATAAAGAAATAGCTATCCCAAATATTATGTCAAGCATAAATACTTGAGTGATTTTTTTTTTAAATCAAGTTACCCTAAACTTTTGGTACAATCAGTCGATATTATAGCTAAGTAGACAGTGTACATAGTACATCTTTGGTATTAAACCACCTCCTTAATAAAATGATTTTAGTGTCTAAATTACATTTTGCACAAAATATACTGCCACGATGATGGCCAGAGGGTGTACTTCAGATAGTCTACCCAAAATATGTTTCAATTAATGTTATGTATAATATGCATATTTACAATTTCTAAAAAAGTTCTGAATTCTTGTTATAATTTTAATATCTTTCAAGCATACGCTTGACTATATCTGAATTTATGTATACTAAGGCTCTGGAGAATCATATGTCTAAAATAGTAATTGATGAAGCATTTTAAATGGAAATGGAGTCATTTTTAAATCAATAAAAATAGTAATATCAATTTGTCCATACATAATTTATTTCTCAATTGACCATAGTATTCGTGTATTTTTAAAAAGTTATCTTTTCAAAAAGTCACCTGTGATATGTATACAAATATATAATTATTCCTAAATAGTAGATAGAATGTAAAAGTGATACTTTCCATAAGATTTCCCACAGATGTGACTGAAAAAACAAATAATGTGTACCCTAACACATTATCTGTATATATTTTGTAAAGTAGTGATGAACAAATTGTGAAACAGATAGCTTAAAAAAAAGTTTAGTTCCTTAATTAGGAAATGTGAAGTAGGATTTATTCAAGAACTATCTCCAACGTTAAAAGTATGTTTTAATGGCAGGAAAACCAAAATCCCTTTCCATGTAACTGTATTTTAAACATGTCATTCTCAAACTTAATAATAAGCCCACTTCTGCCACGCTTTGTAAATATATAAATGCTTATTATGATTAAGTAGAGTGATTTTCACTGCATCGTTAACAATGATAAAACGTTTAAGATTTTATTGAATGTAATCATATCCAATTTATTGGTAATCATCATAATTTCACTTCTGAGAGCTATAAGCTTTATTTTTAAATCCGTAAACCTGCATCAGTGATTTACACATGTAAATGATGTCAGGTTAAATTAAGCATTGTTGCTAATTAGCTGTTTGGATTTGATGTGCTCTTTTACCGTCCGGGTGTGCCATTTCCACCGTTAACTGGAGCGTGTTTATCCCCCCACAGGACAAGACGAGTGCCTTGAGCCTGAGCAACGTAGCAGGCGTCTTCTACATTCTGGTCGGCGGCCTGGGCTTGGCCATGCTGGTGGCTTTGATAGAGTTCTGTTACAAGTCCAGGGCAGAAGCGAAGAGAATGAAGGTGGCAAAGAGTGCACAGACTTTTAACCCAACTTCCTCGCAGAATACCCAGAATTTAGCAACCTATAGAGAAGGTTACAACGTATATGGAACCGAAAGTATTAAAATTTAGGGGTAGGACTTAGGGCCTACTACAGTGAGTGGGTGATGCATCCTGTACACGCAGTGTTGTGACTGTCTGTCCCGTGGTGGTATTGCTTGCTTCTCATTAGAGCTTTATATTTTCTGAACCTTCAGCGTAAAGTGGTTTGGTTTTCTTTGGCTGCAGATGTACTGTTCGAATCTTTATGTTGCCAATAGATATCTGCATTGAAAGGGTCCGAAAGGCAAAAACAAACCAGCAGAATTGCTCTGCGAAACGATCTAAACAGTATATTCTACCCCAAATTTGAGAGAAATTGGAAATTAGATCTTGGTTTCCTTTGTACGTAGAGGAGGCTAATCTTCTCTGGAACAAATTTTAAAATAACTGTTAACAAAATAAGCATAAAACCTAATTCAAGTGACCAAAGCTTAGACAGCTGCCGGATAAGGTTTTCTGAAAAAAATTATACGTTACAGCTCCAAGGCAGAGAGTCAATGCTCAACAAATGTCAGCTCCTGTCCCAGTTTGTTTTCCATTAGCCATATTCTGAATTTTTAAAGAGTAAAACCTGACGGTAGTCCTTGAGCTAGACCTTGAGGCAGGCATCATCAGGATATTGACCTCAATTCACGTTTATTTCATGGAATTCAACTTTTATGTTCACAATGTCACTAAGGTGAGCAGACAGTTTAGGCAATTTAGCAGTTTCTCCATTAAAGATATCAGTAATATACGTATTTCTTAGGAGGAACACAGTAAAAGATAAAAATGGCCATGAGTTGTTATGGATTTTTTATTTCAATTGCTTTTAAGTAAGCCAGCTCAGCCTTACTTACTTATATGCTTTCATCTTGTCACAATAAAAAAAAAAATTTAGGTATTCATGTAGGTATTCAATGCAATATAGGAAATGGAGATCATTTTTAAAGAATCTAAATGTCCATCACGTTTTTCCCCTAATGGTTGCAAGTGGTTTTAAAATAAGATCTAAAAGCCTTTGTTATTGCTCTTCCTAAAATCAGGTCTCTAAAACTCATTTTCTAAAATTACATATAATAGCCAACTGAATAGGCTGCTCATTCTGATTAAAATGATAAATGAGCCTTTAAACCCATGAGAGACATTCCATGCTTGATGTAAAAAACCTAATAAAATTTTTATAGTAAGATGTATCTGAGCTCTACCAGGTTTAGCTCAGTGAATAGAGCATTGGCCCACAGACTGAAGGGACCTGGGTTCGATTCCAGTCAAGGGCACATACCTTGGTTGCAGACCAGATCCTGGCTCTGGTCAGAGCACATGGGGGAGGCAACCAATCAATGTGTCTCTCACATCCATGTTTTTCTCTCTTTCTGGCTTTCCTCCTCCCTTCCACTCTCTCTAAAAACCAATGGAAAAATTTATCCTCAGGTGAGGATAAAAAATAAAAAGATGTACATCTGAGATTATGCCAGGTAAATATGCTTGACTTTAAGGTTTATTTATTCATATGAAAGCTACTGAAATACTTATATCTTAATATTTAATTGCTTTTATCTATAATCTGGAAATTAATGACTAGATATAACTACACATGGGTAAGCCCAATTTTGTGGGAAAAAATTAAGAACAAAACCCTCAATTCACTCATATCAGAATGTTTTCAGCACGTTTTCTAATAGCAAAACAGCAAGCTAGGATGATATCAAAGTCTGGGCCATTATAATTCTTTCATCTTTATATTTACAGAGTTGAGAAGAGATTTTTCTCAAACCGAGAAAAAGAATACTTGAAAATTTTCAGAGCCAATTATTTAGACTTCATTCTGAGATGAATTTTATAACCAGTTTATTAAAACGGAGTTTTCTTTGGCACAGCAAAAGCATTCCAACCATCAGTGAGGTCTAAAGGCAGAGAAGCAAAGCAAAGAAAAAAAGAATATTAGAAAATTCTAGACCAAAGCTGGGTTGGCTCTGTGGATAGAGCATTGTCCTGTGGACTGAAGGATCCCAGGTTCAATTCCAGTCAAGGGCATGGATCTCAATTGCAGCCTCGATCTTATCGCTGGTTGGGGTACATGCAGGAGGCAACCAATTGATATGTGTATCTCTCACATGGATGTTTCTTTCTTTTAGTCTCTCACCCTCCTTTATACTCTCTAAATATCAATGGGAAAATATCATCAGGTGAGGATTAACAACAAAAGCAAAATGAAAATTCTAGAAAGAAATACTCATGGGTGTCAATTTATTACAAAGTTCTGAGAAGGTGTTAAAAATATATAAAAATTCCCAAGATATACATACAATTCACATGTAATAATGTTTTTAGGTTAAAACCCGGCATTGCAGTTCATATCATGAATTGCCTTTAGAGCTGGGACTGAACTTTTAAGACAATAAATTTTATATAAAAATAAAGCACTCATATCCATATGACTTTTCAAAAGACTTAATAGAATTCAGGGTAAATGAAGTGATCTGCACCTTGAAAGTAAGTTGTTTTTGTTACACTCCCATATCAAATGGCTTTTTCCTTTCAAGAACTCTATTGGCCATAATTATGCAAATACTTGATAATTCAGATAATATTGTTCCAGAATCTCAGAAACAAAACCTAAAACCTTCAATATAGGGTAGGATTCAACTTTAAAAGTGACCATCCCTCCAGGAGGACACCTACAATTAAGGTCATCACCATTAGTCACAACAAACCAACCAAGCACAAAACATATGGACATTGTTAAGAAAATGTTTCAATTTGAGCAGCCTCAATAGGTTCACACCAAAATGAATAGAAATGGCCTTTTTTGGAAGAATTGAAAAAATACAACTATAGGATGCTGAGAACTAAGAATGCCAAGATTTGTAGAGAAATTAAGGAGTTGACAAAGATTTATTAACTAATACACTAGATTAAATCAAGCTATAGAGAAGGAGAGAATGCTCAAAACTATGTGGAATCTTTCCGGCTTTGGATGTTTTCTTTTCCTCACAAACGCAAACGAGAAGGGAAAAGAAACAAAAATAAATTTTATGGCAAAAGCATTCTGCAAAAATTCCTTAAAAAAATCACACTGTTTGCCCGGCCAGCATGGCCCAGTGGTTGAGCATTGGCCTGTGAACCAGGAGTTTACGGTTTGATTCCCTGTCAGCACACATGCTCTGGTCGTGGACTTGACCGGAGCATGTGTGGGTGTGCAGGAGGCAGCTGACCAATGATTCTATCTCATCATCGATGTTTTCTCTCTCCCTCTCCCTTCCTCTTTGAAGTCAATTAAAAATATATATTTTTTAAAATCACACTGCTGTTATTAATTGTATATTAGTATTTCTTTTTCAAAAAATTAAAATAAAACTAAAGTAAACTGCTAATTTTTAAAAAATAATTATCTATTTTACTAAATATTAAAAGTTGAAAGGGAATTTGAAGAAGCAAATTCAGACTTTTTTGGTTTGTTTTAATTTAATGTTGACTAGGGTTTCTATAGAGATTGTGTGCTGACCTCTGATTATGAAAATAAGTATTAATTTTTTAGTTGTTCACTAAGGCAGAACTATGATAACGACCTGATTTTATCATAAATGTGTCATTACCTAGCAATTTGACTTCAACTTTCTAACATTATAGGGTCCTGAACTCCAAACTTTTTTATTATAACAGTTCAATTCCAGTTACTAATTTTATTTAATCAATAATTATTACAATATTTAAATTTCATGGCAAAATAAATTCAGGACGGAATTTCCTAACGAATAAGGTTAACTTAAATTCACAATATAGAATTGAGATGCATTATGAGTTGTGAGAAAGTTATGATCTAAGCCATCACACATTTAGGGAATATCTTGTTTAGCTTACTTTCCTCTTGAGCTAACATTAAAAACCAGCTCTGGAAAGAACTTAAAGGCAATGAAGGAACAGTAAGTAGATTTACATAATACCACCTGTATCTCCACTGTGTAATGCTACTAACTGCTACCTAATGTGACAGAGAGCCAGAATTTAATGAGGATTTCAGAGGCCTGGCCCCATAACCTCCATCTAGGAAGCTCCCAATGAGAACCATCCTGATGGACTGAAAGATGCCCTGTTCCGTGTGACCCCCTTGGAGCACTTCCAGCTTCTTCATGAGCATTAGCGTCCCTGTGAGGCCTAGAATGGACTTTATGTCACTAACCGTGCTGCTCTGGGCCATGTCTGTAGCTGGTGTGAACGCATGAAGGTGTCTGTGGCTAGGTCTGTGTTCTGAAAACAGGAAGACCTGTCATGAACACTCTATGTCTATAGTTTTGTTTAGACAATTCATCACCAGTTTAAGAGCATACTCCTTGCAAAGGACTTGACAAATCCCTGTAAAGACACAAAAGACTCTAAGAAGGGCCTAAAATCTGGAAGAGCTTTTTAAGAAGTACTAGGGTGTAGAGTGCAGCAAGTTAAAAGATGTGCCCTCCCCAGATTTGCTGAGCAAAACCTCCTTTGATGATTTTTTGAGTGAGCTCTGAAACAGGCAGGACCGCAAACTCTAGGCCAATTCATTCATTCCTCCCTCCCAGTGACCTTTCCTTTCTCCTGATGCCCAGTTTCCACATGACGGAAAGCATTTGGGGAAAAATGCAGATGTCTACTATAGTGATCTCTTGGTGTTTGCTGTGTCCCAAGCTGCCGAAGAAGCAGACCTGGTGTAACACCCCGCCTTCTCTCTGTTTCCTTTCCACGCCCCCAGCTGACCTTTTCTGAAGCCATAAGGAACAAGGCCAGGCTCTCCATCACCGGGAGCGTGGGTGAGAACGGCCGCGTCCTCACGCCCGACTGCCCGAAGGCTGTCCACGCCGGGACCGCAATGCGACAGAGTGCAGGCTTGGCTGTCATTGCATCGGACCTACCATAAAAACCAAAAACATAATCGAGTGCCTTAATTAAACTGTGTTGGTGACTGACGGGAGCAGCCCGGGGAGCGGGCCCGCGGGGCCCTGGCTATGGCCCAGTCCTCCTCCGGCTGAGAGTGCCGGCGGCAGCGGCGGCAGCAGCAGCAGCAGCGACGTGTGCATGAGCTCAGCTCGGAAAACCCAATCTCAGATTTTCTATCAGGAAAACTCACAACCTAGGTTTTCTTGGGACGCGGGCGGGGAGGGATCTGGGACGGGTGTATTCACAGCAGCAAACTTCACTCCGGTGGACTTCAACACTAACCAGGCTTGCGAGCTAGCGCATCCACGCTGCAGGTCTTGCTCACCGAGGCCTTGGCCTCCACAGCAAGAGATGGATGGATGAGATAGCGGGAGAAGTCTATGAACATGCTGTCTCCAGAGCACCCATCTAATCTACTGAGGACTGTCCAGCGGAGAAAAACACATCACTAAACTGCGATCAGAACATAATACACACACATGTAAATCCTGTGAAAAACAAAAATTTAAAGGAAGTATTTACATTTACTTTGGAGAAAAAAAACAAATACTGAAACACATGCTTGCTTTTTCAATGATGTAAATTCAGTAGAGGACAATACGATTCCTTTTTCTAACCATCTTAGGGAACAGTACATTGCAATAATTGATATAAATGCCATCACTGTAATAAACTCTAGAGACTCTTTTTTTTTTTTTTTTTTTTTTTTTATTAAGACGTGTTGGTCATCTCGTTTGCTGTAACCTTCACTCCGTCACACGAATCGGTAGCCACAGATCGCTTCTGTCTCAATACCCGGAACAGAAACAAAAGGAAGATGTTAACGTGACATCATCAGTCTTCGATTTAGGACCAAGAGACTAGGGGTCCCTCATGGTATCGATATTGTTTATACTCTTGTTCCATGTACAAAAGTGTGGTTTTGTACCCACCAAAAAGAATAAAACAACAGACATTCTTACGATATCCACAAGGGTTTTTTTCTTATTATAAAAGTTATTTGAGAAATTTTAAGATTGTAAAGTGTGGGCCACATTGAAAACTATAGCTAGCCCTTATTATTTTTGCTAACCAAGCTAGCTTCTTTTACAGGCCTCTGCCTCGTTGGCAGGTTAATGTCAAGGAGGGAGTACCTGAATTGGGAAATGAATCATTGTCAAAATAGCAACAAACCTTGTAATCGTGTGTTGAAATTTTACTTGACTGTATTTTGCTGCATAAAATAATTGTCTCTTTGGGCTTCTCCCCCATTCTCATTATTCCATTTAATTCACTTGAAGGCACTGAGAGTAGTTTGTGGCAGACAACAAGTGAAGACTTGGTCCTTGTTTTCAATGGAAAATTGCGAAGAAAATGATACCCAGATTTATTTCCAAAGTCACCTTATGCTGTGAATGGATTAACATGGATCAAAAGAAGGTTTGAATCGTTTGAAATAATAAGTATTATAATATAGATAAACATCACAATGCTTAGAGGTCACAATACTTGACAGAAAGCACAAGTTAGGATTCTTCTGGAAGTCTGGCTTTGGGGGACAAGCTGAGTTTTCATAGGTGGAGAAGGTGCTAAAAGCCTTGGGATGGACAGTGCCTCAAAGCTGTGCTTGGCGATGGCTTGTTAAAGGACCGGATGCAACTGAATAGACTGGAGAGAACACAGGGCTGATATCGTGGAAAAATAATGTTGGAAAACGTCAAGGATTGATTATCTTGCCTCAGTGCTCAAGATTCCTACCCCCCTTCCAATCTCTGTGCTGCAGTAAGAGCAATTTGTAAAAGTTCAAATTTGTTAACAAAACACACACACACACAGTTCCCTCAGGAAAAATCCCAAGCTCTCGAGCAGAGCAAATGAGTCCCTTCATGACCCGGTCCTTGTGTATCTTTTCATGACTTCTCTCATCCCTACCCAACCTCTCCTTGCTGCAAACAAACCTCAACAGCAGCACACGGGACACTGTATGTACTATTTCTTCTGTCTATAACTCTTTCCTCTCTCCTCTTTCCCTGACTAACTTGTACTCACCCTTCAGTACTCGAATTTTACCTGCCCTGGGAAGATTTCCATCCACATCCCCTGCCTACGAGACTGAGTTAGGTGCCCTTTTAATGTTTTCTTCCCATCAATGCACTTACCATACTGCATTGTAATTGCCTGTGTACTTGTCTGTATAACTACTAGACTGTAAGCTCCTTGAGGGCAGGGACTGTGTCTATCTTGTTCACAGTTGTATCCCCAGCACCCAGCACAGTGCCTGGCATATTGTAGGTGCTTAATAAAATATTTGTTGAATGAATGAATTGAATTGAATTTGATTACATGGAAACAGAAAGATACTTTTCCTCATTAACAGTCCCTAGAGTGTGTATTAAGTATATGATGAATCAAAATGAAGGCTGATGGCTGATTTCATGACCTTGTGTACCTCACTGAAAGGAGTAGTCATGAAGAAAGAAAAAGAGAAAGGAGAGAGAGAGAGAGAGAGAGAGTGAGAGAGAGAAGAGAGAGAGAGAGAGAGAAAAGAGAAGGACAGAGGGTGTGAAGTGAATGAAGGAAGTGAGGAAGGGAATTCAGGAGGAAGGAGGGAAGTAAGGAAGACGGAGTCGCACGTACTTACTCGTCTAATCTCATCCCGCACGCCCAATCCCCCCGCCATCATCCCGGCCCATCCCTCCCCACCTCCTCATCCCTCGAGAATGACCGCTTGCATTTTTCCATTTCCCTGAGAAGGCATTTCATGTAATTGTACATAACTATGAAAAAATTTGTTTAGCTAGAAAAATTGTTACAGACAATTAAATAACCTAAAACAGGGTTTTGCTTTAATTTTCAGTCATACTTCTAAAGATATCTTTCACTTAAATCTGAGTGAATTAGTGATGTAAAGTTAAAAAGTTACATTTCTTTCTTTTTTTAATGTTTTTATTGATCTCAGTAAGAAAGGGAGAGGAAGAGAGAGATAGAAACACCAATAATCAGAGTCATTTATCCGCTGCCTCCTGCACATCCTGTACTGGGGATTAAGCCCTCATCCCAGGTTTGTGCCCTGGATCAGAATTGAACCCAGGACCCTTCTGATTGTCCACTGAGCCAAACTGGCGAAGGCAAGAAGTTATGTTTCTTATAGTTTTATTTCTATATTAGTTATAGTAGAGTATGCTTAATTTCCTACATTTCTTATAATAAAATAATTTTGCTGAAAACAGAATTTAAATTGGACTTTACTAAAAATAAAAATAAAAAGATGCCTATCGGGACTCCAATCTGAGGAAATGCTACAAAGCTAGGAAATGTAACTTTAAACATTTATGTTTAAGTTAAAACATTTAGTTCCATAAAGAGGCTCAATTGCTACGCAAACAAGACTACCATCCAGTGCAGAATTTCTTGATGTACCTGGCAAAGCCAATTTTGAAGCTGTATCAGCTAGTTAAAAGCATTTAGTGATCATATTTGAAAGAAATAAAGAGCCTTCAGAAGAACCATTTTGCCTCACTCAATCCAATAGCTACTAATTGAAAGTGCCAGCCACACTCTGCTTGCATTTGCTTTGGTGTTGGTTCTGGCTGCTCCTTGGTCTCCATCCCTGTCAACAGATTCCATTTCCCCAAAGCATAGCAGATAGTAGGTGTTCAATGTATATTTGTCAATGCATAAACACAACTTTATCTATTGCCAGTATCAACGAAAAACTGTTCTAATAATTTTCCCAGAGAACAGAATAATGCTAGTAGGAATAAGAACCGAATTAAAGTGACATCCAGGAGAGTTTCTGAAAAGACAAGTCAAAATTGTGCAGATTCATTTTCCTTATTAATATAATGCTGCATGAAAAGTGCCCAACAATATTCTGTGTTTAACTCTATAACAAAGACTGCCAGCATCATTAATCTAAGGTTAGCACAGAACAGGCCAGGACTTCTGAGTCTTCGGGCCTCAGATCTGCCCAAGGATTTTTGGCACTTTGACTTGAGTGTCACTGGAACTCTGAACCCTTTAGGCCTCCATCCCTATCATTGTTGGTCACAGCCTCCTAATCATCTCTCTTTCTCCTCCCACATTCTCATCTCAATATTTTTCTGTACATCTTACCTTTCTCCAATTTATCCTCCCGCTGCTTCCCTCTGTTCCTGACCTTGACACCATTCTTCTTACTGACTTCAGTTTAAAATAAGGACATTTCCAACATTTCCACTTCCCAGAGCTTTGTCCAATCTCCAGATAATATCACTCTACCTGATTATATCAGTTCATATACTATAAATTTAGAAAGGAGTGGCATTCTTTACAATTATATATTTGCCCCATGAATAAAAAAGCCCTCCTTTTTGTAACCATGCTGTAAAAATGGGCTGCCTATTTGTCCATTTGGTTTTCTGACTTCTGTCCTATTGCTTTATATTTGTAAAGTGTTGCAGAAGATCGGAGAAAAACCAAGCAACGCTTAGAGAAATGGAGTCACACTTTATTATATTATGCGTGGGCCCATAAAAAAATACCTTTCAAATTCTGGGCAAAGAAACAGGGAGAAAGCTTTCCTATTTATACTTTTTCTAGCTCTTTGGCTCCCAAATAAGAGTTTTTTCAGTCCCCTTTGCAAGTTCTTAAGGAGCCCTATGCGCTGGGGCTTTGAGACCTCAACCAAAGGCCTGGCCTGGCAGCAGCATTGATAACTTTGTCTGGGGAACGTTTATTACCTCTCTGGAATTTAAAATATTAAATAATATTTTCTTTATTATTTAAGCAAGTAAGCATTTACAGAAGTCAAAATAGCAGGGTTAGAATTTCAAACCGCAGTTTTTATATAAAATGGATGCTTCAAAAGGACTATGGCTTTTCGCTAATTTTTTCTTTACACCTTAAGTTTTATCGCTTTCAGCAACTTCAAGATCAGTGCAGATGCTGTATTTAAGCCCTCATCCTGCAGTTCCTTGATTCCCATTGGTCTTAGTCCCTATCTTATTAAGTTACTCATACCAGTAGACATGTAGCAGGCCATATTATTATTTACCTTGTTGTTTTACTCTAGATGACGACTAAATTCTCTCCTTCCTTTCTTATCCTAATCACAGAAAACAGGCCTTTAATTCCTTATTTAACCCCTTTATTTTGTTCTATCACTTCACTAAAATGTCCTTCCCAAAGTCCCAATAAACATCTTGCAGCCATATAAACTAAACATTCTCAATATGGCACTAAGACAATTGATCTTTTCATTCTTTAGTTTTTTCCCCTAAGCCTCTGTTTCTTCCTCCTCAGTCTACTTTCTGCTCTTTTTCTTCAACCAAAACTTACTCATTGATATTACTCAAGATTACCTTGTGCCCTTTTCTCTTCTCATAGAACTTATTTCACCTGGTTGACCTCACCATTATTAAATGTCTACAATCACCTATGTACACTATTAACTCAAAAATATCTAGCTTCTAATCTAGTCCCATATATTCAATTTCCTACTGGTCATCTCTTTTTGACTTCTCAATGGCCACATGTCAAATTCCTCATTTTTTACTCTACATCTCTACCTCTTCTTGTATTTCATGTCTCAGTGACTGGTACAACCATTTATCCAATCTCCCAAATTAGAAACATGAAAATCATTCTTAAACCCCTTTTCTTCATTATTCTACCATCCAATTAATCAACATCTCAAATTTCTTGTATCTCCCAAATATTTCTTTACTTTGTT